TTTGCACAGCATCAAACGACAAAATTTCCATTTCCATTACGTCGGTTACTTTGTCCATTTCTCTCATTCACTCTTCAATGTTCATTTCAGTAGATTTTTCATTTGTCGTTTCAATGAGCCCTCATGTTGTCCAAAAGGATTAACAATGCTGCTAAAAGCATTTTTATCCGCTTTATTTAGGGCTTATTATCATGCATTCATTTTTTCGTCACGTCTTACTCCCAAAAATGTCGACATAATGACGCAAAGAGCTCTGTCAACCCCCGTTGCCATTGTTGCATAATCAGACAGCATCATATTTTTTAACAAAGTTCGCCACTGCCACAGCGAATTGAGGTTCTTAAGGTGCACACTCGACCATGCTCCGTCACATCATGCTATCTTTCCTTGATTATTGACCGTTCGCCGTGAACGATCAGGCGCCGGAGACGGATCAGGGAGGGCGCGATATCGCAGACTACTGTATTTATGTTGGTAGACGTTTGCTTTTCACAAGCGTGTTCTCAGCCAGACTCTTCAAGAGGCTCCGACACTTAGACGGCGTCGTGGTCGAAAGAAGCAATTCCGAAAGAACGCAATTAACTCTTGGGTTAATTATGGTGGCTGCAGGCGTTTATTGGCCCGTCTCCAAATCGTTAGATCGCTTCACTAGCCCCTGTGTAGCGATTATAAGTGAAAAATGTTGTTGCGACATTTCAGCAAACCGCCACAAGTTTATTTCTGCGATGCAATCGCTGCTTGAAAGTGCTTTACAGATTTACGATATTTGCTGAAAGTGTCAAAGAGTCATTTTTCATCTCCTTCGATGAAGCCCTTCCGCCTCAGAAGAACGCCCAATAAGAAATTTTCGATAATGAGCATGACAATTTACGAAGTTATGCGCCGCCGTTATGTCAGGGCTACACTCTACAGCGATACGGGTCCATTCCATACGGTAGGTTGCGCCTATTTTCGGCAGTTGAATTTCCTCAGTTTGACTCATAAACTAACTCAATTATTTATTATTAACTCGTTTATAATTATATGTTTTTTGCTTATAATAATTCAACACGGGATAACTATTTTCATACAGTTACCTTTTATCCCGCGTGGCTACCTGGCAATTTGGCAGTCCGATATTTGGAGTTGGGTACGGTTATTCATCGTGAGTTTGAGGAACAGATCGCACTTGCACTACGCGAACTTTCATTCGAAACAGTTCCTGTGTTAAACTGTTTTAATGGGCTGATTTCACAACACTAAGGGGTTAATTACTATTTCTGTTTCACATTAATGAGAGTATGCTGACAGTCAGAAACACCTACCATATTTTCGATTTGGTGAGAAACATTAGTTATCAATATGAGTGATAGCAAAATGGATAGGGAATTATATACTTTGGTAACTGTAGATAATCGTTTGTAGATGCAGACACTCATCTATCGATTCATTTTTCAATCAATTTGTCAACTCATTCATTCCTTTATTCAGTCTTTCGTCGGCTCCCTAGCCACTTGCTGGGTGATTTATGAAGCAACTCCTAGCCTCTGATTTTTTGACACCACACTGGGTGAATTAACCTTTGAAACTGAGATTTGAAACATTAAGTGCGGCTAATAAACAATGGCATGACGGATTTTCATATTCTCAGGTTTGCCCAGTTTCTTCAAGGTAAAACCTCATTTCTACACTTTGTATCTAGGGTCACATTCGTTCACTGTCTGGCACTCATTTGCATAGATGAAAGTATGTGCATAAACAGACTTGAAAAGAAATGGCTAGCTTTACACACTACTATATATCTGATTCTTCATCGTCACCAATTGGGTTAGATCTCACACTATTGGAACCTACCTGGTCAGTGACACAGGAATCTAAACCGTTCTCACCGCTTTATTTGCATGAATCGTTCCTCAACATTACATCAAGTTGCCCTTCTCCAGAGTTACAATTGCGTTCTGATTGGGCCCTCTGATCTTTAAGCTGATTTCGTCACATTCTGCTTCGAGCGTATCACGTGCATTTTCTGTAGAACGTGTTCTCATCAGCAACTTTCCAAGCACATTCCATCGACCCTAAGTATGCGGCGCATAGAAGCTATTATTGCTGAAAGAGTTTTTTCTAATGAGGATGTGCACAATTTATTTATTAGTACTGCAGGATTGGCGCTGACGACTGATAAGCATGGAGGAAAATGGCACTGCCATTACTCTTAAACCATAGACAGTGCGGTCAGAGCTCAACGTAAAGCGCTCAGAGGCTTTCATCAAAAGAAACGATTTATTTGTAAATTCAAGTTAGTAGCATACGTGGCAGGGGTTATTGAGGTGCAATTTATTATTGGACAAACTGTCGTAGCCGGCACCGGATGAATGGATCACATCCCCAGCCTGGCGCCCCTTCATTTGGCTGGCTTTTTCTCTGGCGTTTCGGCGTTCGGCTCTGGGGGTGTGGATCCGGTGACCTCGTCTTTCGGCTTCTGAGGCATCATGTCGTGCACCGGTGCTAAGACCGTCTCCTGGTGGTGCTCGCCGGTCACTTCCCAATCAAGCGGCTCCCTTTCCTGGTACTTCATCCGCTTCATCACCTCCTTCAACGCCTTGTAGCACATATCGTAGTTTGGCTTGTCGTAGTAGGTCAGTACCGACAGGTGTTCGTAGATTTCCTTGAACTCCGCAGGGCAACCTTCCAGAAATTCATTCAAACGACCCAGCACTTGCACTTTGCATTCAGCGTATGCCCTTGCTCTTACCATCGTTCGCAAACTCTGCAAATGAAAGAAATTTTACGAATGCAACTGAAACTATTCTGATTAAATATCTTAAATCTTCAAAACCAAAATTAAAACTGTTCTTGACTTTATATAGCAGGGCAAAAATCGCTGCGGTAAACAGATGCCTTTGTTCCGTTTGCGACTCCCGTAAATCGTGCATGGAAAAATCTGTGAAGCAGCTAGCCTGCGAAACTAAAGCAACCTCTTGAAAAATAAATGAAGCAAAATCCAACCAGCTAACAGATGGGCGAACAGATGAGTGAGTTTAAGAACCCTTAGAAGTGAAACTCCGCCTTTGTGTATTCCAATCGCTGAGGACAACGGAGGAGAGCTTTGGACCACGGCTTTTTCTGCCGCAAAATTTAGCCACCTGTTTATCGAACAACATGCAGTAATGGTCATCGCCCGGGTTTCCAATGGTCACGCAGGTTGTTCTTTGCGATGATCGCGGATGAGGATGTCGAGTGCCAGCTCTTTAAAAGCAGATTACTCACGGCTACCGCTGAATTCTGTGGTTTAAGGCGTATTTGCCTGCCGTCTGAATGTCAAAGTCAAACTCCCTCATGGACAATCGAAGTTCAGCTGGCTGACAGCGAAAAGAAGGGTGCATTCAAGAGGCTACTTGGAAGCATACAGCTTTCAACTCGAATGCGGTACAAAGAAGCGCGCAAGGCGGCAGCGAAGGCTGATTTCTAGAAAAAGTTCAATGAAGTACTGTTGCCGAATCTCCAGAGGGCAAAGAAAATATTATGGCAGACTTTCTGCCACCTGTGAGGCGGAAACAAGGACGAGTGCTGAAGGAAAAATCAGGACCAATTCCTGTATTAGGAGAGGACTGCCTGGGCGACGGAGCGAGGATATTTTTAAGAACTTCATAGCCTCGAAGAACAGTACAAAAACTCGCCGGAAGAGCAGCAGGAAATGGGTATTGGTCATTCAGCAGAAGTCCCAGTGGTTGTAAGCACTTCAAAATGGTAAGACTGATTGAATCCATAGCACCCCATTGAAGTACGTAGAGCTTATGTGAACAATCCATGCTATGCCTGACAAGTGTCTGTCAAACTGCAGTTGTGGCTACGGGAAAGACGCAAACGGACCTGAGAACGGAGACTCATAGGGAATGCTCCAATTATTGGGGGGGGGGTTGCTTTATTGATTTGACAGAGTAAAGTCCAACAAAATTGTGTGAGGATGCGCCGCGGAATAATTGACTCAGAGTACAAGAAGAACAGTGGCTTTTTAGGTAAACCCGAAGCACACCTGACCATATGTTCCCCCTACGGCGGATTATTGAAAAATCATCGAAATTGGCTCATCCGATTTGCATGCATGTGCTTTGTTGACCTGAGAAAAGTCAATAACCGCATCCCGCGTAACAAACAAGCTATACGCGTTCCTGCAAACATATTGGATTACGACAAATCAGTCAATAACAATATGCTGAGAGGAGGCGCAGTGTCAGAGTAAACGGCGTTAAATCGAGACCTTTCAGCGTTCTCCGCCAAGGTTGCTTCCTGTCCCCCTCCTGTTTGTGCTGAAAGTGAATACAATTGACAGCCATGGAGACGAGAGTATCAGCGGGAAGATGTGGACACGGAAAAATTGCTTACAGATAAGTTTGCTTTTTTTGGCATCTTCTGAAAATGATCTGCTCGCTAGAAATGTTTCTCACCTGAGTGCAATTCGGCCGGTATGCAGGTTCTCGTTACCATGCTTGTTGCTCTTTCTAGGATGGTGTTTACTGGTGATGGAAAATGAAAATAAGAGATCGATTGGCAAACTGAAGTGGCCAGTGGTGTTCTGTGGAATTAGACAGAACCGTTACGACTAAAAGGGAGCTAAGTCTGAAGGCTGAATCCTTCGTATACAAGTCGATCATAATCCTGATGCTCATGGTGGTCGTGAATCAACGGCCATTAATGAAAAATCTTTATCTCGAGTACAAGCGGCTGAAATGGACTTTCCGAGACGAATCGGTTTGCTCACTCGTCCGGTCCGGTCTTCGACCAGAAAGCCGTGATGTACATCTGCTTGTGCAGATTGAAAGGAAGTCGCCACTGCAACGATTTCAGCGGATTTTGCGAATGCTTTCAGACAGGAATACGACACGGATGTCTAACGATCGATGGAACCGACGCAACCTTGTGCTCCTTCGAGGGAATCCTAGAATGAACTGAGTCATGCACCTCGACGGACTCTGCCTCAAACATAGGTTATTTAACTCATACGGTAGTCTACAGAGTCTGGATGGTTGGAGACTTTGTGCTTACACGGTCTGAAGGGCAAGGCGGTCATCGAAACTGACTAACTGGAGCGCGGAAAATGTTCGATTTTACTTGATTACATTTTTACTGAAACAGGAAATCCAACCCACTGTATATAACTTTCTCCAAGGGTAATGGTCACGCGAAAAATGGAAGAACCTGTTTGATGGAGAAGTGATGCCGAAGCTTAGAAAATGTATGCCTGTTGGTCTCTGATGCATGTGGCTGCTGCTCGTATTTACCGACCTAATGGCCTAACAGTGAATGCAAGGTGTAACCCGTAAATAAGTGAATAGTTCGCCTTTAAAGGAAATTTGCCTACACTGGGGAAGAGATGATTCGCTGACCGATTTATTAAAACGTTCTTTACCATATATAAGGCAGTTGGAGGTATGCGGTTTGAAATAAATAATAAACTGACATTACCTATCCAAAGTGATAGATTCGTAGTTTTTAATATCAGAGGATACAGAAGCATAAAAAAGCACATATGTGCCTTTGCCATATAATAGGAATATTGAGTTTGTGTTGAAAAGACCTTAAGCTTCAAGAAGGAAAAAGTCAGATAAACAGCCGCGACGGTGGCATAAACCAGAGCAACTTTTAAACGTCAGTTACTAAAGGTAAGCTGTTAACTTTAAACCACGCTTACTCCCACTCCCATGGTCCAAACCTAGATTTCTTGTTCTTTATTTCGTTTATTTTACTGTTGTACCTTCATAGCGAATCAAACATCTTCGAATGTCGGCAATATGCTAAATTCAAATTCAGAGAATTTTCTTTAAAAACCTAGAGACTACAAAAATGAACATGGGAGTGTGTTTAATTACTTAGAGTGAGGTTATTAAGATAAGAACAGCGTGATGTACGTACTACTGAATAGAAACATGACAGAAAGTACATGTACTCAAACTTAGTGTTCAATCAGAAAAATATATAAAAACATGGATGCTTCTGATCCGTTTTATATCATTTAGTAGTCATGTGATAAACAGATTTCTTAATTTATGTATTCAATTCGCAGCGGTTCGAAATTCCGTTTAAAATAAAGATGTGCAATGGAGTTCGTCCAGATGACACCATATCGTCTGAACTGTTTTGAGTCAGTCATCTGCGAAACTAAATGGGATTAAGGATTTTCATTCATCTGCAAACGGCTCACTCATCTTCAATTAACTGACGCCATCTTGCTGTTGCGGACTACCTTCTGCAAAAGAGGTGGAAGACATTCCATGTAAAACACAGTTCAAGAATAAGCAAGAAGAAAATGATGCGAAAACGTATTCGCATAATCAGCCACGACTGCCGTCAGTGCTGGTCAAATATAGGTGACCGAGAATGCTTACTTGACACAGCTAATCGTGACAGACCGTTCTTTTCGTCCATAACTTACAAAAAGACATAGTGCGACATGGGACACATGCAGACCAAACGTTTATATCCTTCAAAGCAGAAAATTGTCATTTTCGGCTTGAAGCATACTGTATGAAAGCCATGTATTGCGAATTTTTTCATACGGCTGTGAGACCTGAAAATCAACGAAAAACAGGGAAAACTGCTGAGAGTGCAGCGGCGGGCTACAAAGCAAAAGAGGCTAGCAATGCCATTAAAAAAGCTATGAAATGAATAAATACGAAGATACACGGAAATGGAGGAGGACGTAGCACCAGTCTCAAAAGACTGAAACCACAATGAGAGAGTCAAATCGCATGACCCATGCATGACCGATGAGCTTCAACCGTGATAAACTGGTATCGAAGGAGATCCAAGAGCCCGATTAAATGACATCGGCACAGAAGGCATGATTTGCTGAAAGAGAGATACGGCAGTTTTTGATGATAAGGGTGACTGTGAAGAATAGGTAGTGGTAAGCCCCTGTTAATTCAAAACAAGGTTCATGTAATAATATGCAAATCGCTGTTGTGTATGACTCACCATAATGACAAACCAAAAAATGCTACTTACTTTTGGAAGGTTTATCTTGTACCATAGGACCCTACCAGTAGCCACTCGGACAAGCATGAATGCCCACGACCACACATCGTCTTTACGAGATTGTTCTCGTCCTCGCAGAGCATCGACCGAAGCGTAGTAAAGAGTTCCACGAAATCCCACTCTTTGCCGAGGTCTTCTCGGTTTTCCTTTCTTCACATACTTGCGACACATTCCAAAATCAAGCAAATATATGTCACGGTAGTTCGGAGCTCTTCCAATCGCAAAGTTATGTGGCTTTACGTCGCGATGAATGTAGCTGTAAAACGATGCCAAATATACTAAACAGCAACTATTATAACGAAATGTTAATTATTACACTAATAAAATATTGATAAATGAAATGAAAGGTTATTATGAAAGAGGAATTAATAGGTGAATATATAACTGAACAATCGAATGAATTGAATAAAATAAATGAGCGGTGGCATGAATGAATAATAGAACCAGTGATCCATTCCAACGCATTAAGGAATGCATAAGCCTGTTAGTCGGACAGCGTCGATGACCGCTTATCTCATCGGGTCCCCGCAGTACTCGGGGCTGATAGTGCATCGTACTTTCACGATCCTGTGCCTTCGTTGTCAGAATATAATATGAGTCTGAACAAGAGGGCCCAATACGCTTGCCCAGGTTCTTTTAACCGTCCCCGGGGCCTTCCTCTGATCGGCTGCATGAATAAGACTGTTTCGCTTTTCTTCTGGAAAGCATTCGCAACATGTACCCAAGCCATCGCAGCTGTGATTTCTCAAGCTGGAGAAGCAGCGGCTATTCATCAAGAATCTAGCCGATATCTGTACTCTGGCCATCTGAGCACATGTGAGTTAAGAGCTTTGTCTCAGAAGTCAATTTCAGCCTCTTGTACCCAGGATTTTTCTGTCACGGCCCACGACTCATGACCGTAAGAACGGATAGGAGTAAAAATCGACTTGAAAACCGAGAGCTTAAACTCCTGACTGAGCTCTGCT